ATAAGATTCTGCTTGGCAGATGACCTACAGTAACCCATCCTGCCCTTTAAAAACAAATGTTGTGAATGGTACACCAACCAAGCAGCCCTAAAATAGCATATACACCTCTCAGCAGTGCTTGTAAAAAGTGCCTGTTTTAGAATTTATTTCAGCTTGTTGACAAAGAGAAATAGTTTCTTTTAGTTTATAGAACAAAAAGGACTGGCAGGATGAAACCTCAGATTAAACAGTCTTGAAAAAAAATATTGTTATTTACAACAAAAAAAAAAAGCCTAATATTACCTAATCTGATGATGCTGAGTACAAAAACATTAATCAGCTTTGGAATACAGACCTAAGGTTGGACTCTTTTTAAAGAAGACAATCAGCATTTTATTGTAGAAGTGGAATCATTTCAAAATATGAAAGTATCAAAAAGTTTCAGATGACCTACAGTAACCCATCCTGCCCTTTAAAAACAAATGTTCTGAATGGTACACCAACCAAGCAGCCCTAAAATAGCATATACACCTCTCAGCAGTGCTTGTAAAAAGTGCCTGTTTTAGAATTTATTTCAGCTTGTTGACAAAGAGAAATAGTTTCTTTTAGTTTATAGAACAAAAAGGACTGGCAGGATGAAACCTCAGATTAAACAGTCTTGAAAACAAATATTGTTATTTACAATAAAAAAAAAAGCCTAATATTACCTAATCTGATGATGCTGAGTACAAAAACATTAATCAGCTTTGGAATACAGACCTAAGGTTGGACTCTTTTTAAAGAAGACAATCAGCATTTTATTGTAGAAGTGGAATCATTTCAAAATATGAAAGTATCAAAAAGTTATAGAAGTTTAAATTTACTGTAAAGAAAATGCACTGTACAATTTTTTATTTTATTTTATATAAAATAAATATTTAAAATTTTAATTTGCACTAAAATTGCTAAATAAGTTATATTCCAAATTTGAAGTTAATATAAAAAAAATTAAGGTTTTATTTAAGGCATTATACCACAAACCGCCACCGGGGACACCCAAACTCCATTGAATTTTTTTTCATGCATTTTTCTGTCACAAATGTCTACCTTTCTGTCAATATTACTTCTATCACTAAAATAACCAACTATCACAGAATGGGGAATCTTGAGACTCAGACCTTTCCAACGATATGTATATTGTCAAGATTATAAAAAGTTTTGATTGTAAAATACCATAATACATTTTGTAATATGACACTTGACACCGCCCACTTAGGGGGAGGAGACCGCCAAAAGATTTTAAAGTACCATTTCCATGTTGGATCTCAAAATGGTTTTCACAGGATGAATTTTGAGGTTTTAAGCTTTCAAATGATATCTAACTTAGGGTCATTACTAACATTTTTGATAGAGTAAAAAGGCAATAAATGATGTAATAGCTGCGGGCCCACTGGTGGGCCGGTGACACTTAACGCAACTGTATGTAGTTTTGTGTATTTTCGCGACTTTGGAGCCAATTTCAGTTAAGTGAGTGGAATTCACTGTCGTAATTACGGTGGTTAACTGTACACATTGCTGCCATGAAGCAATCCGCATTTTACGCGGAATTTCGTATCCACTCAACAACAGACGTTTGTGGGGAAGCGTGATAAAGAAACATAACTCCATTTAATGAACTTCACATAAACAAAAGTTTTTAAATAAATAAGCTCTTTTTTCACAAAATCTGTAATTTTCTGTTGCTGTTTGTATAGTATTCTAACTTTTTTCTCTGAATTCTGAATTTACAACTTGCAATTCTGTTTTTTTTATGCCACAGAATTAAAAATAAAAAAGGAAATTGGGACTTTTTATCTCACAATTCCGACTTAACGCAATTCTGAGAAAAAAATTTTTTTTTAATGGTGAAATATAAACTCAGAATTGAAGGAAAAACTTGACTAACGAATAAAAAGTCGCAATTACGTTTTTTTATTTTTTTTAATCCTGTGGCAGAAACAAGCTTCCAAAGAATTCTAACCTTGAAATATTAGATTAGGCATAAAATAAAATTGCCTGAGAAATTGAACAAATTGTAATCTGGCTCAGAGGAAGACAGGAATCATGTCTTTGTGGCAGTTTTTCTGGTGATTAGAGGACAATACAGGACTTGTTCACCTTACAAATGGCTGTCAAAAGCAAAATTGCTATGAAATGCACATCATATTTTGTGGGAAATTATGACATGATAGAGAAAAACAGACACTGTTTTTGGGAATCAGCACCCCAAAATTAGAAAGTAACAAGTATTGGATTCCATTCAGCAAATGTTATGCAGGGCGGCGTAATGAGTGAATTCTGGAAGTTGAGAATATGGAAGTTGAGAATACTATATTTGAAGTAAATCCCACTAGGCCATATACAAAATAACAACACCTCTATACTCGTATTCAGTAATCTTCCTGAGTATAATGATGAAAACTTTGCATTAGACGACGATGGGTGTGGGATTATTAGACCTGTTATATGGATAAAAAGCTTGTTATGGTAGAGTTAAGATAATCCTTTCAGAAGTTCAGGACAGCATGACTGACGTCTGTGTGCATTGAATTTATTTAATACACGAGTTTCACAATTTGAGTTGAATTACTGAAATAAATGAACTTTTCCACGACATTCTAATTTATTGAGATGCACCTGTAAGGTGGAATGGGAGCTTTGATTCACTGCAGCTCAGGAGAGTTTATGCTATTTTGGTGATCTCAGAGGAGGATCTGAAGGGTGCTGAGGCTTTTTGATGTTATATTGTGGCAAACAAGGCAAATTAAAATATACACAACACTTGGCTAATAATAGCATTAGAGCCTGTTTATGAATGGGATGCTGTGATAGAATTGGTTTAAGAACAAAGAATAATAACAACTAATTATCGCAGACGAAGAGGACAAAAAAACAAAACAGCTTTTATTCCTTGCATATTAGGTTATAGGGTCAAATGCTATTTTTAAACAGCATTTTCAGCATCAATACATTGCCTCAAGCAGATCCACTCTGAATTTACTACACCTTTGTACTACAACAGTGGCTCACTATAGGGGCTCACTGGGGGGCCTCAGTAAAGGAAAGATGTTTTAAAATATTAAAAAGAAAATAATTTAATTACTGCAAACAAACAAAAAAAATGTTTTCCCCATAATTCAGAGATACTCTTTTTTTTCTAAATGAATAGGCTGGTTGAGCTGCAATTTTACATCTACATATTTCATCTAATTATTATTAATTATATATACAAACATACACATAAATCTCGTTTTTTTTTTAAAGAAAAAAATACTTATATTCAGCAAGGATGTATTAAATTGATCAAAAGTGACAGTAAAAACATTTAGAATACTGTATATATATATATAATATTTCAAATAAATGCAGAGTCCTGAAAAAATGTATCATGGTTTACACAAAATTATTACGCAGCAACTGTTTTCAACACTGATATTAAAAAATATTTCCAGCAAACCAGCATATTAGAATGATTTCTGGATCATGTGTCTCTGAAGAATGGAGTGACCGCTGACAATTCAGCTTTGCATCACAAGAATACATTACATTTTAAAATATATTCAAATAGAAAACAGTTAACCGTTTGTAATAATATTTCACAATGTTACTGTTTTTACTGCATTTAAAAAAATAATAATAATGCAGCCTTGGTGAGACTTATTTAAAAAAACATTTAAAAAATCAATATATAATATAATATTAAATAATGCTCTATTAGCTTGGCAGACAGTCTGAAAGAAAACAGCAATGTACAGCTAAAGTATACACAAATAAAGAGTCTAATCAGTGTTTATTTGTTTGTATCATGCAATAATTATCATGCAATTGTTATAATTGTATCATGCCTATTATTACCACTGCAACCTAGAGGATCAGTGCATTGAAAGCCCAAAATATAGAGGTACTAATTGTATGGGTCAGTACATGCATCCCACTCACGTCATGCAGTGCTGTCAGCATGCAGCATGTCTAATTAGTGGTGCTTGTGAAAGCAAAGCATAAATATTGTTATCTCACACCCAAGGGCCTCGGGGTGCCCCCAGGGGCCCCTGCCAATTCTCAGCTCTGGCGTGGCAATGGACTCTTTTGACTTTGGCTAGGGTACTGAAGGACTGCATTTTTATTTGTTGGGAATAACTCTCTCATATCATGTATTAATGACTGAAAGTGCCATTGGTTTGAACAGACAAAGACAGCAGAGGCACAGCGCTAACACGAGCAGCCAGTGTGCGCAGCCCATGTGTGCGGTGTGGACAGCAAGTGTCCACGTCCGTCCTATCGTTTGCTGAGTCAGGATGCACCCACTCGCGCTGCTCATTTTTGTTTTCCTTTACATTCTTATCTCATTGACCCATGAGCTTTGACGTTATGCTCAAGTGACGTCTGGTTTCAGGGCTCAGATCGTGCCATGCGTCCCGGGAAGCGCCGGATCCCTGTTCACGGTGGAGTATGAACTTCCTATAGCGCAGGATTACCTTGATCGTTTCTGCCTGGACGTGTGTGTTTACAGACGGATCATTGCGCACCTGACACTCTTTCACTTTTCAAGCGCGTGTTTAATGAATGAACCGTTCGCTTTTTCATTCTGCTGAGGGATTGTACCGCATACACCAGTGAGGTAACTTACAGTAAACAGGTTTTTACTGTTATATATAGATTTGTCAGTTGTGGTTATACACAGTAAAATACTGGTGCCTTTATAATTTTCACTGATAACTGTGTATTTTATTAACTGACATAATGTTAATATTCAAATCTACTTGAACTAACAAAAAACTGAACTGTGAAGGTAATTCATTGTTTTTACTTGCAAAACCCATACATTTGACAGTATTTTACAGTAAAATTACACATTATGAAGTGTTGAACCAGTTACAGTTCTTACTGTATATGGAAAAGTAACAGTTAAGCAGTTAACAGGTTTTTAACTGCAGCATTTTTTAAAATTTTCTTCATTTTAAAAATTACTAATTTGTTTACAGAGCAGGGAGAGTTGAGGGCTTTGTGTAAATGCTGTGAGCTGTGATTGCTTATATAAAGACAACTGGTTGGATTGTAATTGTAAACCACTAAAGGCTTTTCTATGTCCCTCAGGTCTGTCCACATAGTGGCCCTGGGTAGCGAGTGTCCTGGGGGCGTCGGGCCTGGGGATGAGACGGCCGGCCCGGGACAGTTCCAAGGTGGCTTGTTGTGGAGTTACCTGGGCCACGGAGCTCGGGAATTGGATCCAAACTCGGTGACGCCATCAAGGCTTCCCTTGAACCCTGCGTTTATGGAGTACCAGTCTAGAGTGTTCGGGGATGTCAGAGTGATGGTGCGGGATTGTCCTAGTTGGGTGAGTAACAGAGTGAATGCGAGAGGGATGATGGGATTCAAAAGCAGGATTAGGGTTTCTGCAGGGAAAAGAGTTGTTTCCGCCTGATTGGAGGACTAAGAGGAATTTAGCTACGGCAGTGATATCCATAAGCTGATTGGTGGAACAGATGCTGAGCTACTGAGATATGCCCTCTTAAACATCCCAGGTTAAAACCCTTCGTTTTAATCGCAGGACCTTTTGGATAGCGACTGGGCGAGCGTGCGGAGTGTTGTGGAGCAGGCCGACATTGTGGTCATTAAGTACTCGGTCAACGACAAACTGGCCTTTCAGCAGGTCCGAAACGTCTACGCCCCAAGACTTCGCCCTCTTCTTCGGCACTGGGGTGTTCCTGTGATTCTGGTAGCCGTGGGGGCGAGGCTAAATGGTGAGATGTGATTGGCTGTTTCTGTTTTGCATTTGTTTAGTGTTCACTTGAGGTATTTTTCTCTATTACGAAGTTTTAAAGAAAAATAAATGTCAGTCAGCCTTTTGTAGTGCAGACTTGGGAGATAATGGACTTAATGGAAACAATTGAACTAAACTCTGGTTAAAAATTGCCTGATGGTTTTGCTTATGGAATGTGTGCTTAAGTACTGTAAGCAGAGCAAATAATGTCAAGTACTAATGATAATTAGGATTGTGCATCATTTAATCTTAATTACCTCATGTCAATCAAAGTATTAGACAGTAAAGTTGACTTTTAAACTTTCCTATAATGACTAAGAGCAACATTCACTTAATTTAAATGGATGAAACATATAGGAACACTATGGAACTGTGGTGTTGAACTAGTTAACCTTTACTGATCTTCAGAAGCAACACAGCATACGAGAAGCTTCTGACTTCAAGGAAAAGGAAAAAGTCTGATCGAAGATTTGGCGCTCTTTTGATTTGCTGAGCGCGGTTGCGCCGTGAGCGTTTGTTGAATATGCTCATAGGTAAACATTTATAGACTGCAAGCACTTAGACCACAGATTTGGCTCCATTCGCTGTAAAAGCGGCAGCTCTGTGCTCACAGTGTGACCTTTGAGATGTATAATTCATCAAGATGTGATTCCATCCAGCTACATCATTTATCCCTGAAGGATAATGGAGGAGAAACGAACACAATGGGTTTGTTTAAGACTTGTGAAATGGTTCTTGCCCGGGGTTTCTCAAACTAGGGTTCGTGAAATGTTGAAAAATTACCAATTAATTCATAAAAATGTAAAATTAAAATTAATATTTTAATTTTTTAACTTTAATTTTTGGGTGAACAATCCCTTTAGGATGTACACTTAAGGGTTTGTTTATTTCTAATACTCCTAAGTGTGAGCAATAATGATATTCATGCTAATGGGTTCGTGTCATGAGAATTATGCTGCATTTCCCGTTGCTTGGCCGTGGAGAGACCCGAGTGGCCAAAACATGCTCACACATACTCACGGGGTACAACTTTTTCCATTTCTCTGGGCTTTTTCTTTTATTGGCTACAGTGATTCATACTTCTTCCTGCCTGTGCCCTCTTCACGTCTCTTTCTTCCACTCTTTCATTCTCACTCCATCTATCTCTCTCTCCATTTAGCTGTCTTTTCTTGCTATCACTTTACTTGCTCTTCTGTTCCCTCAGGCATTCGCCCTACTGGCCGGGCCAACTCTTCCTAACACACACACACACACATTGTTTTTATCCAGCTATCCCTGGTCTCTCATTCTGTCACTGCCACTCTCTCTCTCTGCCCGTCGCACACACACATACCGAGGTTTAAATTTACGCTGTAAACTTGAGCTGGCATGCGTTATTACATAATATAGACTCGGATTTTGTCGCTCCATATGTCTGCCTGTTGACATCTCTCTGAATGTTATGTACTCTCTGTCAGTACGAGTCGACATGTTTACGTGCTTTATTTGGCACCTTGCTCTACAAATGTCATTTGTATTGTGCATCAGTAATACGTTTGCATAAAAGTTCCTTTAAAGAACATTTAACATCCATGGAAATTTTCCATTGCCCAAAAGGTTCTTTATAGTGGAAAAAGCTCTTTAGATTAATAACATGTTGTTTACACTAAGAAAAATATGGTTCTGTTCACTGAAACGGTTCTTTTGGGAACCTGAAATGGATCTTCTGTGGCATCACTGTGAAAAATGCTTTTGGAATCTTTATTTTTAAGAGTGGATCACATTTTTATTATGTTTCCCACTGTCATCCTGTACAGACGAAGGCCCGCCGTGCACATGTCCACTGTGTGCAGTCGCTCCATATGTCTGCCTGTTGACATCTCTCTGAATGTTATGTACTCTCTGTCAGTACGAGTCGACATGTTTACGTGCTTTATTTGGCACCTTGCTCTACAAATGTCATTTGTATTGTGCATCAGTAATACGTTTGCATAAAAGTTCCTTTAAAGAACATTTAACATCCATGGAAATTTTCCATTGCCCAAAAGGTTCTTTATAGTGGAAAAAGCTCTTTAGATTAATAACATGTTGTTTACACTAAGAAAAATATGGTTCTGTTCACTGAAACGGTTCTTTTGGGAACCCGAAATGGATCTTCTGTGGCATCACTGTGAAAAATGCTTTTGGAATCTTTATTTTTAAGAGTGGATCACATTTTTATTATGTTTCCCACTGTCATCCTGTACAGACGAAGGCCCGCCGTGCACATGTCCACTGTGTGCATCCGACTGGAGCAGCTGTGTGCCCCACAGTGAGGGGCTCCAGCTGTCCAGGGACCTGGGGGCCACTTACCTGGAGCTGCCATCTCTAAACAACTTTTTTGTGGGTCGTTACTTTGGCAGTGTGGTAAGTGTCTCTTTTTCTCTTAATCATTGATAAAAAAGTCTCATTAGTATGCAGAAGAACTGTACTTGTGGTTTAGCGGTTCCAGGCTGGTAACCATAAGGTTGGAGGTTCAAACCCAGTGAGGGGTAATTTATAAACTCCATGCCTCAGGTGAAATATAAAACCCATCCATCACCACTGAGACCTTGAGCCCCAGTCGCTCCAGGGAGAGTGCAATAAGTGTACTATAAGTCATTTTGGATAAAAGCTTCTGCTAAATGGCTAATTAGAATTGAGACTTTAAGAGCGTTTAAGCTCTCTTGACAGTATCTATCACATGCAATATGGAGACAGTAGTTTTCTCATTCTTAAGCTTAATCTTAAACACAATCAAAAAAACAAGTTTAAAGAAATGCTCTTAAAATGGATGTCTATGAGGCAAGGCATTCTGGAAAGAAGGATTAAATTTGATGTAAACCTCAAAATATGCAGACAAAATATCCAATGTTGGTCGATAAATTTCCATAATTGGCAAATACCAGTGTAGTGTATGTATCATGCATTCCTGCAATTTAATGCTACTAATTAAGATGTGCACAAAATCGCACAATTTAAAGAGCACTTACTTTACAGAATATTTTATGCAAGTCGTAAGAAACTGTACTTTAATATAATTTTTCCTTTTTTTTCATGATCTTAATTTTCATTATCTTGATATAACGAGCTGTTTTCTTGCCATCTCGACTTAATTTATTTCATGATCTTCACATAACAAAAAGTTTGTTTTCTTGTGATCTCATAGGACCTTCCTTTTTTTTCATGATCTTAATTTTCATTATCTTGATATAACGAGCTGTTTTCTTGCCATCTCGACTTAATTTATTTCATGATCTTCACATAACAAAAAGTTTGTTTTGTTTGTTCTTTATCCAACTCCTGTTGGGATCACTGTACTATTGCTGTTGACTAATACGATGTAAAATAAAAAAATAAAATGAGAAAGGAAAATTGATGAGACTGTTTTGATTTAATAGAAGCTGTTTACACAATTCACTAAAAATATATGAAAACAGAAAATGTACATTATCCATTGACAAAGCTGTTTGTGGTTTTGAAACTCACTGGGCGGAATACTTTTATTAATCAGCCAATCTTGCCCCATTTACTTCTTTTGCAAGTGCATAACTGTAACTGTGTTTTTTGATGTAAAAATGTGCAAAAAATGTAAAAAAAATAAAATAATTGTTGTCCCTTTAAAGGTGCTGCCCCATTGACAAGCTGTTCAAAGACACAGTTTTGACACATTTTTTCTAAATAGCCGCAAATATTCCACCATATTTGGTGTTGCTGTGATTTGTGGTGTATTTGGATGTTATTTACACGCTTGCCTTTGAATCTTCATACAGCTGGAATACTTCATGATTCAGTGTCTGAAGCAGAAAGCCAAAGAACGGCCAGACAAACGGCGGGGTCACAGGTTTAACGAGCCCCGCCCCCCTCATTTGGACCAGCCAGGTTAGTGGCTGATGAGATTTCCCTTCATTGTTATGTAAATGATGTGTCTAGTGTTCGTATTTGAAGGAGATTCACAAAAAGATACTCATGCATCTTTCGACTTTTCCGTTTCCCTTCAAACCTGTCTAATTTTGGCGAATCTCACTAATAACTTCTTGCAATTTGCCGGGCATCTTATCTTAATCTCTGCAAAGCACTCGGGTACAAATATGCACAAAATGGCAATATTAATCAGTAACTGAGTCAATGGACTCGTCTGCCACCAGACAAACGGCGGGGTCACAGGTTTAACGAGCCCCGCCCCCCTCATTTGGACCAGCCAGGTTAGTGGCTGATGAGATTTCCCTTCATTGTTATGTAAATGATGTGTCTAGTGTTCGTATTTGAAGGAGATTCACAAAAAGATACTCATGCATCTTTCGACTTTTCCGTTTCCCTTCAAACCTGTCTAATTTTGGCGAATCTCACTAATAACTTCTTGCAATTTGCCGGGCATCTTATCTTAATCTCTGCAAAGCACTCGGGCACAAATATGCACAAAATGGCAATATTAATCAGTAACTGAGTCAATGGACTCGTCTACCATTTAGATAAAAGGATTGACTGCTAAAGGCTAGAAGGATTCTGTGCAAGATGAGCACTGCTATGAGCACTGACACTTAGAACGAGAAGCCAAAGCTTTCTGTAGTTTGTTGGTGTGGCTCCAGCACCACTTAGGCTCTTTTTATAGAGCACAGCCCATAAAATATGAAGGGTATTGAATACTGGGAAACCGTTGGTGTGGCCTCAAATGAATGGTTAAGGGGAGTGCATAACGCACAGCAGTAATATATGAAAAATGTGCCGATAATACAGACGTGATGAATAATCAACATCTGTTTGTGTACTTGTTCTATTTCTTTTTAACGCCTGGCGTTCATGTGGCCTTCCCATAATCCTCCTCATTGGCGATTTGCTTTCACGTCACTTTTCTCATTGCTCCCGTCTTATTACCGTATCCCTTACTCATCCCATCTCCTCTGCTTTTCTCATCTCATCATTCTCTTTCTCCATCTTGGTTCCTTCACACTAAAACATTCCTTACCCATCCTCCTCCTCTGCTTAGCTCACCTTATTTCTCCCTTTCTCTTACCTATTTCTTTTTATCTTCCTCTCCCTCACATCCTTTTGTACTTCCAGAAGTTCTTTAGCATTCCCTACAGAAAACAATAATCACAGATTAGATCTTTTTAATATCACAGTTGTTTCTCCTAGAGAACATCGAAATGAAATAGATCAGCTGTCAGCAATATTGAACACCTGCAAGGATGCATACTTTGAAAATACACTGGAAATAGAGTTTTAGCATAATTGTTTCAACATACTATGATTTGGGATTATTTTGAGAATATTTGAATGTAAGGAAGTAAAACTTTAATTTCTAACTAAAGATTAAATTCAAAGAGCACTGGAAATGATATGGCATCCAAACATTTATTTTTAATTTTTTTACAAGAAATTAATAATTGTATTCAGCAAGAATACATTTAATTGATCAAAAGTGTCAATAAAACATGTATAATGTTTTTTTCAAATAAATGTTATTTCAAAAAATGCTGTTCTTTTGAACTTTCATTGATCAAAGAATCCTGAAAACAATGTATCACCGTTTCCGCAAATATATTAAGAGGCACTGCTGTTTTCAACATTGATAATAATAAGAAATGTTTCTAATGTCCATATAAATGTCTCAAATCAGCAGATTAGAGTGATATCTGAAGGATAATGTGACACTGAAGACTGGAGTAATTGCTTCTGAAAATTCAGATTTGCCATCACATGAATAAATTACAATTTAAAATATATTAAAATAGAAAACAGTTTTTGGTCCCACTTTATATTAAGTGGCCTTCACTACTATGTACCTACATCAAAAAATAAGTACAATGTACTTATTGTGTTCATATTGTATTGCAAAACACTTTTGCTGCTATTGAGGTGGGATATGGGTAAAGTTAGGGACAGGTTTGGTGGTTTGGGTAGGTTTAAGGGTGGGTTAACAGTGTAATTATAAATGTAATTACAGAAATTAATTACAGATGTAATTACATGCAGGCATTTTTAAATTATAAGTACAATGTAAAAACATGTATGTATACAATAAGTGCATTGTACCAAATGATTACTTTAAATGTAAGTACATAGTAGTTAAGGCCACTTAATATAAAATGGGACCCAGTTTTCTTTAAATTGTAATAATATTTTACATTATTACTGGTTTTACTGGTTATTACAAAGTTTGAACTCACACAGTATTTCTCTTCATTTGATATCTCTGTATTCTTACTCCATGTCAATATTAATTGTCTCATTTTTAGGTATTTTAGAAGACATTTCAGCTCCGAAGTAGATACTTGAATGAAATATAACTCAGACCCACATTTAGTCTCCTGAGCTACGAAAGAGCAACATCTGAGCAATAAAGCTGTCCTATAACATCCCGTCCATGTCTTTCAGCGCGTCTTCCCCCGGTGAGAGTGGAGGAGTCCACCTTCTCTCAGGACTTGCAGTGGCTCCTCGAACGCGGCGTTCAGTTTGCTGATGTGGCATTCTACGCCGGGGACTCTGGGAAGGAGCTGGGCTGGGCGCACGCGTCCGTTCTGTGTGCCATCAGCCCATACTTCAGACAGCTGCTGGTGGGACGGCAGGCCTGGGAAAGGCCTGTGTCGCGCTGCACGTGCAGGGACAGAGACGGCCCCCACTCACTTTTGTCCACCTGGGATGGAGGCATAGATGATCTACCCAGAGCAGACGGACACCCTCCCGGACACCTCTCACGGCTGGTTGTGAAGGACCCACTACTCTGTTTATGCCTGTGGGAGACGTTAATGTTTCTTTACAGAGGTGAGATAGAACGTGCGCTGCTTGCAATATTGCGGCTGATGTTGTTCAGGGCAACTGCTGTTGGATAAAGGGCACAATATATTGACGTTTATGGCTTTTTCTTTCCATAAGAAAGAAAAATCACAGATGAGATCTTAGTAACTCAGTGGTTTCTTTTAGACAAAAATGACATTAAATATAGAGAGCAAATGGAGAATTTTCTTGAAAAAAAAAGAAAGATGCTAATAATCATATAAAACATTTGTAATATTTACAATTTTTTTTAAATATTTGTTATTATATATATATACTATATATATATA